GAGAGAGAGAGAGAGAGTGCGTTGTTTTTTTTTTTTTTTTGGGGGGGGGAGGGGGAGTAACATTGGCTCTGTGTACAGGAAAGTTGGGTTTGGACGATAAATTTGACATTGAGGAGTTGTCCACATCAGCCCCTACACCAGTTGCACCCTCAACAAGAAGAACCACCACAAGAAGGCGGGTAAGGCCAGCTGTTTCATCCGATGATGAAGATGCTTCTCCACCTTGCCCGATGCCTGTCACCTCAGTAACAATAGCCACTCGTTCTCAGAGGGTGAGCAAAACTGCTGCAATGAGTAAGATGGCAGCTAAGAATTTGGAGTTAGAGGCGAGTGATGAAGAGTCAGATTTGACATCAGAAGAGACTGCAGATCGATCTGATTATGAGTTTGCATTCGAGGGACAGGGTAATGCTATTGATGAGAGAGAAAAAGTGAAGAAGAGAGAAAATGGGAGCCCTGTGAGTTCTCGAAGCCAAGCAAAGCATGTACTTGGAGCTGTTGCACAGAATGAGTTGGAGTAAAGCAAAAAGCTTCCTTTATATATATATAACGTGACTTCTGAGATTGGTTATCGTAGAAAGCATGCGCTTGGAGTCTGGTTTTTGATTTTCATGTAATCACTCGTGAAAAAACCTGTCAATCAAACATCATTCAGTCAAATGCTCTTGTAAAATCCCTTTAAAGGTTGTAATTTGATTCCTCATGGAAAGTAAATATATGTTGTGTTTTTTGCATTGTGCATTGACCGTTTATATTTGGGCAGCGGAGCTCATAGCCGGAATGAAAGTGGTTTTAAATTTCTTCTTCCATCAGAGGGTCTGGTCGTAATTGCTGTGACTAGCATCCATATTTGTTACTATGGCCTGCATGTTGGATGGGATTAAATAAAATCGGATAGTACATTGTCATATATTTGCCTAGATTTAAGCTGTTTCTCATTCCTTGTGTACTTTCTTTGAATGCCACTTGAATATCCATTATGAGACCAATTTTGTGGTATGAAGCAAAGTTTATAATATTATTATAAGAAGTACAACACCTGTTAGGAGATGTAAGTTAGTTCAAGTGGAAAGACTGAAAAAGACAAAGAGTAGCCCAAAAGGATGTTGGTGAAAGTAGTACGAAAAGATATAAAGACTTATGACCTCATTGATGAAACAACATTTAATAATAGAGAATCAAGATTCATGTAGCCGATCCAATTAATTGGAAAAAGGCTAAAGTGATGATGAAGAAACAAAGTTTGTAATATTATTATAATTAGAATTTAAATGAGTTGGATTGTGATGGAGGACAATAGGATTTAGAGGTGAAATTACTTGTTTGGGCAAGGCCTAGCGTTTTAAAATACAGACCAGTATAGTGGATTGTCCACCCACCAATCTTGATCCGGTTTGGGTTTGAACATCCTTTCGGCCACACATTCGCTAGAATGCCCATTTCAATTCTATAATGGAGTTTCTACATTATATATTATTTGAGTATTAAAATAGAGTTCCTATATTATATCTTATATTAATATTAAATCATTGATTCAGACTAAGAACCAACGCAATGATGAAAGGCTCTTGGCCTGGATTAGCAAATCTCAACCGGAATGGCATTTCCAATTCAGATCGGTGAATTTTCAATCACTGGAGGGAGCATCATCACCTTGCAGCCCGAAAACGGGATGGCCATGTTGTCATCATGAACATGTTGATCATATTATATGGAGTACTTTACTTATGGGGATAGTATCATATAAACTGTATTGTCATCATAACTGTCAACGATTAAATTGTCATCATCCAATCGATAGTCTGGGATTGCAATGGAGGGGGAACAAAAAAGGTCACTTATGGAGTTGTATGTTCCAATTCTTCCTCCCTCACCATGGGCCCCTTTTAATTAGTTGTGGGTAAGGGTTAAGCCATCTTCAGTTCTTAGAGCATGTTTTTGTTAGAGCAAATTGAATACTTCTCCAGGCAAGGCATCGACATTGAAGGATTTTATCATCCAAAATTGTATGATATTTGATTCACCAAAGAACAATTCAAAGAACAAAATTGGTTTTAAGCTTTAAAAAATCTAGGTCTAGGAGACACTTTGCATTCATTATTACAGAAAATAGAACTTTTGTGGGTCAGAAATCAACTTTTTTTATTTTTATGTATTTTTTCATTCCGAATTGAGATGAATAATGGATGTCCATGTTTTTGGTGGAGGAAAGAAGTGTGCAATTTGCTCATGCGGGAGCACGGAATCTTTTTATCTGGAATTTTCAATTGTTTCATTTTTAAGGCATCTATGAATAGAAATGAGGCCCTAATCGCCTATATATCATCCAAACAACGTGAAATATGATAATCACCATCTATTCCAACAATGTTTGAAGTGCGACTTGGGCTGGGTACTCGGCCCTGGCCAAAGTTGAGTACTTTGGCCGTGTTTGAGTAACTCAGGCCGAGACGGGCCAAGTTCAGTATTGAACATAAAAATGGGGCTAAAAGGAGCCCAAAAATAATATGAAAAATTTGTAAGATATGTTAAAAATTTATTATGTATTGTTTTTGTACAATGTCACATAAAATAATTGAAAAAAAATATTATAGGCATAATTGGATTTCGAAAAGAAATTTGAACACCTAAGGCAATACTTTTCCAGTGAACAACTATGGAAGGAAATTACATATTAAAAAATCGTGAAAATCACTGCTCAAAAGTAGTAAGAGTGACAATGGGGTTCGGGATTTTCTTGAGTTTTGCTATTAGGGTTCAGTTGGCCAAAAATCGCTGTGAAGCCTGCTCGGTTCTGTAGTGCACTTGCAATGTCTCCTTGCCAAGTAGGAATACTACCATGTAAAATTCCTTAGCCATAGTCACTTAGACTTTGAAACCACCTATGCTCCTCGCTTCCTTTGCCTTTGTTTTTCCACTCATCGGCGTTGTCATCGTTGCGAATAACCAACCTATAGCTCCGCCACTTGTGCCTCTCTCTCCAATAATGAAGCGGTTATGCATGGTCTCTTGACTTCTTCTCAAATCAATCTAAGCCCATCTTCCTTCCTAGGGGAGCACCTAGTACCTTGCGACACCTCGCATTCTACTGTTGTTGATTCATGCCAATCATCTGCCATCGCCCCATCATCGTCGTCGTTGTTCTTGTCTTTTCCCTTATCGAAGTCATCCTCGTCTTCCACCATGTTCCCCTCGTCGGTTGCCAGAATGTCATCGTTGTCATTCATGTGTGCAATCGATTGTTCTAGGTACTCCTGATCTAGTAGTAGCACTTTCTCTGATACCCACTTGTCAGCAAGGTCTTTGCGGAATATGTAACCCATGTTGATCAAGGTATAGTCTGAGGGAGACTTCTCTATCTGGTGCGGCATGAGTTTAATGTTATAGTGGATATAGACGAGGTTGTGCAATGTCTGAGTATTCAACTTTTTCTGCCTTGGAGTGTGTATCCACTTAAACATGCTCCAATTTCTCTCACAACTTGAGAAGGAATCTATTTAGCTCAAAATTTGAATGGCAAGCTTTTGAAGGTGTAGCATTATATTATGCACCATCTACCAATTATTTGATACAGACAAATACAAAATATTTAATAGCAAAGAATAGCATTATAATGCTTTATCAAGTGGTAGATAACTTGAAATCATAAAGTAATGATAGTAATTGTAGAAGTAATCAAAACTTAGAAAATATTAAAATGTTAAGAAAAATGCTAAACAAATAGTAAGTAAAGCTAAATGTAAGGCATATAATAATATATATAATAAACCTGGAATAAGAGAAGGTGAAAAGATATATTCAAATTAGAAAAAATAAGATAGAAAATGTAGGGATCTAAACCACATTAAATGCATTATGAGCAATGATCAAAGAGTTTTGGTGAAAGATGACGAGATCAACGAAAGGTGGAGAGTTTATTTTAAAAAATTATTAAATGAAGAGCACAAGGGAAATATAGTAGTAAAATGAACTGTTAGTATAAATGAGGGAGGAGGTCATAGATACATTCATAGGATTATGATATTGGAGGTGAAAAATCTTTAAAAATGATGAAGAAAGGAAAGACTTTAGGACCGGATGGTATGCTGATAGAGGTTAGGAAGTATATGGGGGAGATTGACATTGATTGGTTGACGAATGTGTTCAACAAGATATTAGAGCAAAGAAAATACCAGACGAATGTAGGAAAAGTATTGTGGTACCTATTTACTAGAAGAAAATAGACATACAAATTGTGCCAACTATCAAGGGATTAAGCTTATGAGCCATACTATAAAGCTTTGAGAGAGAGTGATTGAGTAACGACTAAGGCATGAAACAAGCGTATATGAAAACTAATTTGCTATTATGCCAGGAAAGTCAACAATTGAGGCTATTTTTCTACTTAAGCATTTGATTGAGAAGTTTAGGGCAAAGATAAATGACCTTCATACGGTCTTTTTATTGATTTAGAGAAAGCTTATGATAGAGTACCTTAAGATTTGATTTAGTGGGTGTTGGAAAAGAAATGAGTCTCCAGACACTACATCGACTTGGTGAGAGATATATATGATGGTGCTCTAACTAGTGTACGAATAGCTAGTGGAGAGACAAGTGAGTTTTCAATAACAATAAGTCTACATCAAGCGTCAACATTGAGCTCGTACCTCAATGATAGACCACGATTCGTATAGCCGACCCCAATTAATTGTGAAAAGGCTATGATGATGCAATTGTAGAACTAACTCGAAGGCAATAATCTAATAACCCTTATGGCAGTTTTGAATGCGAATTCATCCTTAGTATCCATGCACTTGTTAAGCCGCACAGATCAAGATGTGCATACCAAGAAAATTAATACGTTAAAACACAATAATTTCTTGCAATGGACATGCATTTAAGAAGATTTACCTCCACCATACATTGCACTTGAGAATCAGGATCAGGCTCGAGGGTATAAACACAATTCCTTATGCCCATAATTATATCGGCATCTCGTATTGCATTTGGCGCATAAAATACTATAGGTTCAATAAATAATATGTATATGGCATATGTAGTTAACAACAATCAAAGAATTTCCTAGTAGGAAATACGCATTTAACCCCGATAGGTCGAACGAGTTACTAAAATTTAAATTATCGGCTACATGGATATTGCTGTACATTTGATTCAGCCACTTGAGTTCGACGATCGACAAGATCTCATTGATGAAGATGGCGTTATGTGCAATAGCTTCGAGAGCCCGTCTCATCGCATCGCATTGGAAACCCATAACTGACTTGACATCTGAGTTAACTAGCCTCAACACTTGGACGAGAGGTTTAGTTATAGTAATGACCTCTTTGCATCTTTTTCAGAACCCTCAGCGTTTGAGTTTTCCTCAACTTCCTTTCCTTGAGGACTCCTTACTACTTTGTATGTCTGCCACTCCGATGATATTACCGTTGAACGCAACCTGCCTTCTATTCCAAGATAGACTGTATGGTCAAGAAGGCAGTGGCAAACCTTGTGGTCGCCTCCCTAACTATCTCTCAACTGCAGTAGCTCCTCATTATGGAGTGGATATAATTGTAGTTGTATATAAATTTTGTTATAACCTTGCACTTTTTAGTAAGGAATGCCACATTCCTCAACTTCCCTACGTCTTTCAACATTAGATTTAAACAATGTGTAACACAAGAAATCCAATGTAGAGTTGATATTGTTTCCATGAGCAATGCCCCTGCCCTTTTATATGGACCCACATTATCATTACATTCTCCACCCTAATATCCTGTATGACCTTCGCAATGTGATTACATAAAATTCTACCAGTATTTTTTTAT